ATGCTGCGCGGGCGCAGCTACCAATTTGGGAGACCAGCTTCAGCCATGCACGATCACAGATTCCACCGGGCGAGTTGCGGCAGAAGCCTCCAGGATCCGATTACACCAGCCCGGTGTACTAGCTCGGAGATGACGTCATCTGAATACCAGCTATCATCTCCTTTCGAATCGCCTGCCTCCCTCGGTCGCCGCCCGTCCACTCGTTCCACTCGCTGTGCCCCTGCCGGGGTCAGCCGTCGAGAGGATTCTTCGGAGCCTGATGATGATTCAACATCTGCTGCGCAACGAAAGCGCGGCTATAGTGAGATCGCGTCCTCGCGGCCCGCACCGCGCCCCACGCCGACCTACCTAGAGAATCCCCCTCAACACTATGCCGGTCAATCTCGCTCACACTCTCATGAGTTCTGCACGCAACAATGTCTTTTGGGTTTGCAGCCCGGCGATGTCTTAGACCCACAATACCCGAATGTGAGACTCCATCGAGCTGCGCTGAAGACCGACCGTCACCCAATCCGAGTCGCCGAATTAGTCTCCTTGGTCAAGCAACAGTTGGACAAGAACATGGACGAGTAGTGTACTCCAGTCAGCCAATGTGGATCATACGGCGTGCTGTTCAAAGTCACTTGTGCTGCATACGGCTACACAGTGGTGGGCATAAAGTATCGCAGGAAGCAGAGGTCTATTGTATATTACAGAGCATCCAAGGCTCTGCAGTGCCGGTGTTTCTGGGACTTATTGATTTGGCCAAAATATACTTCCTCCACGGTGCAGGTGAGATTCGCCACATGCTACTAATGAGCTGGGGGGGCAAGAGTCTCCGTCACGAAGATATCGATACCAAAATGCAGCGGCACATCTCACGGTCGAAAAGGAGTATTCTATCATTGGGTGTCATGCATGACGACCTTCGCCCTGAGAATATTTTGTGGAATGAGAATCTAAAACGAGTACTGATTATTGATTTCCACCGGTGCCACTTGACCCCTCAACTGCTACAACCAAAGCCGAACTCAAGTAAAAAGCGACGCTTGGATAGTATGCATGGAGGCAGGGCTGAGCTAAGAACCAAACGCATGTGTGTTACTTAGCAGCATGCATAAGTCAAGACCCTCTGGAATCTCCACTACAGCGAAGCTCCGACCATGCGAAAATCTTGGACATACCTCTCACATACCCACCGTGATTCTGGTCTGAGAGCGCGACGATCGAGCACTCCCAACATCACTACAGAAAAGGGCATTTTAGAATACAGTAACGGGACGAACAAGTAGCGGCTAGCAACCCAAAGCCATACATAACGTATTCCCGAAGAAAAATTCAGGTTCAGGCTGTAATTTGGATAAACTTTCATTGCGCGCAGTGTCCGTGTGGTGCTGACTCGAGCGGAGATTGAGTTATTCGTCGACGAACGTGTGGCACTTGCGAGAGAAAGCAGAAGTCTGTAAGACTGGTTGAAGATTATGTAGTCTTACATATGACACCTGAAAATTCATGACCTGGGTTGTGTTGGAAAAAGCGTCTTGCGGCGGATTGAATAATAAGCAAATTTTCATATATGGTCTCGGCATGTGCAAGAAATCTCAGGTCGTGCGCTCCAAGGAGAACTTTCTATTGGTACTGTCATAGGCACGAATTCACAGCAGACGTTTACCCTCAGAAAACATTAAATGGGAGCGTCTTTTTAGAAAAATTCTCCTGTAAAGTTCGTCTTATGAGGGACATAGCCACGTGAGGGCCGACCGAAAAGTAAGGTCTAGCTAAGAGATAGACAGACATGTGCACCGTCTCATCTGCACCTGGGCTTTCTGCAAAGCTGGTACGGTAGTTAGTCCCGTCACGAAATCAGTGCATCGAAACCCAGGCCGTGCATTAATTTTGGCAGCCCATCATCATAGAGAGAAATGGAGGAGCACAAGCAGAGCAATTCGAGCTTTGCCAGCTAGCACACCACAGTATCATAATGAGGCCGAGACATTAGCATGGTCGGTATGTTCCGGCGAGCCTACTCTAAATTTTGGCCATGACTACTAAGTTATATCCCAAACGAAACACTTTCCGTACAGAGAAAGCCACTAGCTATCGAGATTTGACTGAGACGTACAAGGGAAGTTCAGTAGTGAAAATGAAAAATATATATGGAGTGATTAGTCTATACGAGCATTAATTCTTGGAATTTGTACCTGGAGGATAGTTTTAAGTTCAAGAGCTTTCTTATCCTAATCGGATTGATTTTCTGTTTTTTTATAAGCAAATACGTCTCCGTTCTTAAATGGCCTAAACACGCGCAAAAACGTGACTCGAACGTATCCTCCAACGTACTCACCCGACCCGTACGGAAGCCAGGCATCTCTTACCGGCTATTCAAGAATTTCGAACTAGAGATAGCAGTCTTCAGGAACTTGTCCCATTCTTAATGCTTGACGTCTGTCTTTTTAGCTTGAAAAAATGTGCTGAGTATCAATAAGTGTTCGACCAAGATTTTCGATTCAAGTGTAAAAGCATGGCAAGGTATCATCAGCTCGCATCGCTGCTCCAGGTGGCATACCTCTAACTTGAGTTGTTAAGGTCTAGTGAAATAATGCGCATGGAACACGAGCCGGACACATAAGCGAGTAGGCCATCTGGATTTCACACCATATTGGACTCTTATTCCAATGTATATATGAGCCGATTCCAACTCTTTCTGCCTTAAAGGTACTGCAGTATCAGATAGAATTCCCTTGATGCTTATTGCTCTGCAGGTTGACATTGCCACCCCAGGCTTGCCATTCGAGCCGCGACTAGGAGACTGCCTCCTAAAAGCAGACAAGAACCCCCCCAGACTTGCGCACCTAAGTAGCTACCGTTACATACTTGGATCAATTTACCTGCTAAAGGTGGTCCCGTGAGACACGGTATACTGATAATGGTAAATACCATGCCGATTCTGGTACCACTTTTAGTCAGGTCTTTTGTCAGACTGGCCAACGTTGACGGAAATAAGCCTTGAATACCCGCGCCGAAGAATCCAAAGAAGATGACCCAAACTATTTCATGCGCAAACGAAAGCACGAGCAGCCACATATAGAGACAAAGAGCAGCAAAGAATATAATAGGAATAAGGACTGTTATCGCACTAGAGCAGCGATCTGCGAGTAAGGCTGGAACAATGCGACCGGGAATACCAATAGCATTGACAATAAGAAGAATATTGTACGAGGAAGCCTCTGATATATGCAGCTTATCGAGAGCATATGAACGTACCTAAGAGCATTATATCAGCATGAAACAGCTATATGATAAAGCATGGCAATATGAGAGAAACATACATAGTAATACGCAAAGTAAGTTGCCCAAAGAGTAAAGAACATGCTGATCGTAAAGAGTAAATAAGGTAACTCCTTAAAAGCTGCTAGCTCAATTAGCTGCCTACTTCTGCGAGGTAGGTGTCGCGCCTTAACAATAGACAGTACTACCGCTACATTCAGCAGCACCACGAAACCCATAATGCGTATTGTTCAGGGAAAGCCAAGGCGAGGTAGCAATTGCTCTGCAATTATAGGGAATATAATTCCTCCCGTTGCTGCACCACTCGCAGCGCTCGATATAGCAATGGTACGTTTAGTCGTGAAATAAGTTGAAATCAATGCAATTGTGGGGCAAAAAGTAAGGCCGTTGCCGAATCCTTGACAGATACCCTGCGCCAGAAACAGCTGCCAGTAGCTTGTGCAGATACTGGTAGTAAACATGGCCAGCAACTGTATTGAGCATCCAGCCCACAGAATAGGTTGATAGTAACCAGTGTCGAAGGCGCGCCCCGAAACCGCTCCGATCAGGAAAATCAGGAAGACTTGAGTGCTACCGATCCAGGAAATGGTAGAGGCGGGAAGATTTAGCGATGAAGTATAGTAACTCTGAAATATCCCAAAACTGTTGGCATAGCCCCAGGCATTGAAGACGACGAGATGGCCAGCTAGAACCTGTAGCCAGGCTGTAAGGCCGCCATTTGGTGGCGGTTCATCTGAGAAAAGAGCGTGGGTTACAGGTAAGGCACCGTGCTCAACACTGGATATAGATCTCATCGTGGCGGAGGTTGTTCGTCCCTGTCTAAAGAGCCGAAGATAGCTCTTTCCAACTCTGCGCTTGGTTCTGAGCCTGTCAACTTGATTCGAAATCCAGAAAAATGTGATAAGAAGAGGGAAGGACCTCAGTTCTTGCGGCTGTAGAATATCAAATGGTTTTGTCTAATTCTCAACATGACACCCAAATCAACTGCAAAGATAACACAGAGAAAAGTGGGATTTGGGTTAACCCTGTCTTTTGCGGGATTTGTTTGATTGCCGCCATGACACGTTCTGTTTCTAATCCAAGTGACGCTTATGCAGCCACTATCCCAACCCCGCTATGCACGGATGTGACTGAGAGGTTATTTGGAATACCTGCCACGTCATGCCACATTGCTCTGCGTGAACTGTAAGTCATCGGTGATTAGACAATTATAGAAAATGTATAAGAGAATTAAGTATTGACACATTGTAACCACAGAAGCACATTCTACAATATAGTAATAGTCTCCATATCCAAATTCTTCCAGTCTCTTACTTTTCAGGATCTTCTCTAGCATCCGAACACATCATCAGACAACTATTTCTTCAATCAACCAGCTTCATATCATAACCTAATCTGCGCTTAACTTTCAGCACTTGATCATGGAATTCAACAAGCAAGCCTTTCTTGAGTTCCAGCACGCCTTGGTGGAAGCTATTGAAGCTCGAAAGGATGGCCCTGTCTTACCTTCCCTCGCAGTTCTAAGACATGCCATTGGAACATTTCCTGCTACATTGCCCTGCGCAGGCCATGGCCTAGAAGCCACAGCAAGACATCTTATCGAGGATATTTTGCCTGGTCTCTCTTGCTCGAGTCTCTCTCCCCGCTACTACGGTTTTATCACTGGAGGCTGTACTCCTGCTGCCCTCTTAGCGGACAACCTTGTATCTGCTCTGGACCAGAACGTCCAAGTCCACCTACCTCAAGAGACATTAGCCACGGACATTGAGATGAAGGCCATAAATATGCTCAAGGAGCTTATCAGCCTCGAGGCTTTGTGGAAGGGGACTTTCACATCGGGGTCATCTGTGAGTAACCTCATGGGCATTGCATGTGGCAGGGAGTATGTGCTTTCCAAGCGAGGCTCGGCGAATCAGGGAGAAATAGGGCTTTTTGATGCATGTATCCTTGCTGGCATCAAAGGCTTTCAATTACTAGTCACGAGGCACCATCCATCTATCATTAAAGCCGCAAAACTGCTTGGCATGGGATGCAAATCCATCAAGCAGGTTGGATTTACGGACAAGCCCTGGGAAATTGACTTTGAGCTTCTAGAAAAAGAGCTTCAGGCGCCACAGATCGCTAGCATCATATCAGTTTCCTGCGGAGAAGTCATGACAGGGCAATTTGGTACCGATGGAGACGGAATGGTGAAATTGAGGGCACTGTGTGACAAGTATAACGCCTGGCTACACGTCGATGCCGCCTTCGGGCTATTTGCTCGTGCTCTTCCTGCAACCCCGGAGTTCACATACCTCCGATGGGCGGCTGCTGGCCTTGAAATGGCCGATTCAATCACAGGTGACGGCCATAAACTACTGAATGTGCCGTACGACTGCGGCTTCTTCTTCTCGCGCCATCCAAATGTTATAAAAGCCGTTTTCGAGACCCCCCCGATTGCCTATTTCGCTACAGAGTTGGATTCGACAATTCCCTCTCCACTTAATGTCGGTGTTCAAAACTCGAGACGTCTCCGCGCTCTACCAGTCTATGCTACATTGAAGGCATATGGCCGCTCTGGTCACGAAGATATGATTGCACGGCAGGTTCACGTGGCTCGGACGATAGCTGCTTTTCTTCTCGATTCACCTGACTATGAGCTGCTCCCACTACGGAAAAATATGGTGAAGGAACAAATTTTAGAGCGGGTATACATGCTCATTCTGTTCCGGGCGCGGGATGAGAGCTTGAATCGCAATCTGTTGAGGCTGGTTAATGCAAAAAATCAGGCTTATCTATCTGGAGGGATGTGGGAGGACAAGCCGGCGGTGAGGATGGCTGTATCGAATTGGAGAGCGGACGTCGGACGGGAAGAGCGAATTCTAACAAAGATGCTAGAAGAAATTGTAAGCGATTGGAAGAAAAACCATAGCGATGAGTACTTGAGACCTACTTTGAAGTCTGTTTTCGCGAAACCCAGAATCTAATTCAGATTGCGGGTAGGATCAAGGAATGCATCCTATTGATGATATGTTCAGTTTTCTAGTACTGCCGAGATGTAAAGCTATTGACTGCAACGACTTTTCTCACAACATCGAACAGTCAGGGGGGCTTTTGATGATCACCTGTTCATTCTGCTCGGACAGGTCATAATTGGCCGCTTTTTCTTGTATCACTTGCGCACTCCCGCGCTTGCCGGATCTCTGTGTGCTGTGCTTTTTTTTGGCCGCTTAATAGCACCGAGCTGAAACTAGAACGTCTAAAGAGGCAGTGCACATTTACCGCGGATATGGAGCGGGTCCAACTGTTCGCAAGGAAATAGTCCAGGAAATCTTCTCATCTGGATTATTGGAGGATTCCAGTGATCAGGAGACTGCGTGGCGCATATGTCGCCATCGCAGGCTGAGCAGGGTACTCAGTGCGATGTAACCTCACTATAAACTTTTGAGTCAAAGCCTCGAATGAAAGACACATACCCTAGTTTGATAGAGCATAAGTAGCATGTGTCAACGAATGAGCGGAGTTGTCTCGTGCAATGAGAGAGGCCATGCTGGGCATGTGAATATTATCTGTTTTTTATAGACGTTACTCGCCTCTTTTTACTATTCTCAGATGAGACTATTCAACTTCAGGAAAGATTGCAGTTTACCACGTCAACTGTAGACAGCCTATGTTCAACAACCTCTTAGCCATGCGGAGGGATAATCGACTTGTATTGGCTCAGAGAAAGTCTTTGCATTACACAAAGTAGGGTCGATTTTAATGATTATACTCCGAATTATAGACGAAGAAGAAATGCTGAATGCCACAAATCCGAGTATAAAGATAGTGTGATACCATACACATAAGTATCTCAATCAGTGGTTCTCTGGCAAATCTATCGCGTGAAAATGCCTTCCGATTGCATCTCCCCGCTCATATTTGGTGAAAATCTATCACTAGGCGCAGCTTCCCTCAAGGCAGCCAACGAATTCTCTACGAATGTACTGGTCATTGGTGGTGGAGTCACCGGGCTTGTAACAGCATGGGTTCTTCTTGATAGAGGATATCATGTCACGATAGTTGCGAAAGAATGGGCAACGTGGACACAAGCACATCGTCTCACTTCTCAGATTGCAGGAGAGCTATGGGAATACCCTCCGGCTGTCTGTGGTCAGCACACAGATGCTATCTCGCTTGCCAATTCGAAGAGATGGTGCATGATATCGTATAAGATCTGGGACACCATTGCTTCAGATTCCCAAATGGCTGTGATCTCAGGAGTGAAAATGAGGCCATCACACTTTTTCTTCCCTTGCGCCATCGAAGACGATCTCGCACAGTTTTTGAAAATGAAAGAGATTTAAGAAAGTGGAGTACGGGGATTTATGCGTGACCGTCGCCTTCACCGAGTGCCGGGGATTAATCGCCAGTATGGCGTCGTCGATGCGTATGAGCATCTTGCACCCATGATTGATACGGATCGTGCCATGGGATGGCTTATGGGGCTTGTTCAAGCCAAAGGTGCCCGTTTCGTCACTGAAGAAATTCACGGCGAACTTTATGTTCAGGAGGATGAACTTCTCACACGCTTCAAGGCCGATGCAATTGTCAACGCTACTGGCTTAGCAGGCTTTACAACGGCGGGTGACGAATCATGTTATCCAATCCGCGGGGCTCTGATCCGTGTTATTAACGATAACACCAACTTCCCAAAGATAAATCAAGCAATGACAATCACCGCCGATGCGGTTCATAGTGCCGATGAAATTGTGTTTATCGTCCCGCGAAACGATAACATTCTATTGCTTGGTGGTATCGCGGAACCACACCAACAGTGTCTTGATTATACCCTTGAAACTCCAATCGTCAAACGTATGCGACAACGATGTGAGGACTTCTTTCCACAACTTAAGAACGCGCAGACAGATCCCGATTATCCTCTAGCGCAAGGGCTACGCCCCTTCCGAGGTACAAACGTCCGCGTCGAGCGAGAGCTCAGAGTTAAAAAGTCTAAGGGGAATGGAAACATATTCAAGCCAATTCCAAGCCGAATTGTGCATTCATATGGACAAGGTGGTGCAGGCTGGAGCTTGGCTTTCGGTTGTGCAGCTGATGTTGCGGATTTAGTAGCAGAGGCTGTGCAAAATCTACCTGCGATACCGATGGCTATGCCCGAGAATCCTGCAAAAGAAGTACCGAGAGAGGTTAAAGCAAGGCTATAATGCTATAAGGCCTGAGTTCTAGGACAAGACAAACCTATGACCTTATCAGAACCAGTGACTGGATTTTCTTTCGGTGTTATTTGCAACTTCGAGCCTAATGTTTACACTTTAACCCAGAAATTGATGAGACTCAAAACTTGTGTTCGCAACCTCACAGACGATGATGAATGTTTCATAAGTTAATCTCTAGCATAAGGCTATATGCAGGGTTCCACTATTACTGCTATTCGTTTATATTTATTCATCGTGAAGTAGTATTATTATATGCCCGTTGTCTTCTTTCTTTTTAATCTTGGTCTCTTTTTTCCTTTTATTGTATTCTGATCTTCTTTGAGACTTGTTGTAGCCGTCCTTTCCCCAGTCCCTTATATCTTATTAGTGTCATGTAACTTATTTTGATTGTTAGGCAAACAAGGCTTCAATAGGTTAAGGTGCGAATCAATTCTGGGAAACCGAGATCGAGAAGCCCTCTTGGTTGGGTGGTTGGGTGGGCCGGAACACGCTTTGACAACTTGCTTTGTCACCTCCCTTCGCTTTCGAGCGACACATCCACACCACCCACAGATCCATCTCTCACTGTCCATTTCATAACAGCTGGAGAACCACTTCCATCATCCTCAACCTTTTCTACATTCAACAACTCCTTTCCGTGTGCTCTTTTCGTCTGCCATGCGGTACTCACCTCAGCCGATCGGGTCCAGTAATGACAGCGGCACGAGTAGCAACGTTCCGGATGTCTGCTCGGACGGCGCAGCCGATAATCTCTCCGAGAGTGCATCCGAGCCAGCCAGCAGCGGTGACGATTCTGACGATTCTGATGATGATTCGATCCTAGACGATGAGGAGGAAGAAGAACGGGAGCTTACTGCATTGCACTACCTTGAGAAGGCTGAGTCTCTCGATGTTTCGCAGCTCCGACAAAAACGTTATAGTCCGAATGCCCAGTCTAGATTAGACGATACGCGGGATTACTGGAACCGGTGAGAAGTAGTCAGGTTTAAACTTAAACACGAAAACTGGTTTTAACGGTTGTGTCTTGCCAGGTTCTGCTACGAAGGAAAACACGATCTTGTCGAACTTTTTGGCTGGCTCTCTGATTCCGAGGAGACAATCCGATTCCTCAAGGCCTTTTTCTCCTGGCGATGCGGTCGGCTACGAAGCAAAAAGGGCCGTCGGACTCCAGGAATAAAATATAAAACCTCGCTAGAGACCTTCTGGAAGTGGTGGCATCTGGTTTACAAGGCGGAGGTGGGCAGGGTCTTAGCAAAGACACCACTGTCAAGATCCTGGATGTAAGGATATATGCCTTGATGGAGCTGAGGCATTAGCTAATCGTCACAGGTCTTGGCTATGGTTGCCAAGGAGAAAAACCTTCTTTCTGGGCGGCGACCAAAAGCGCCCATGTATATCGAAGACGTGGCGGAGTTCGCTCGCGTGCTTCTGTCAACGACAGAGATGACATTCCAGTGTGGATGGCTTCGGATACAACTCCTCTTTTGCCAGCTGGCCGCCATCACCGGTAGCCGTCCAGGCGCTCTTCTGAATCTACGCTATCGAAACCTTATACTCACTCTCGTCCGTAATCCGGACGGAGGGCGTCCCCAGTTATTCATTTACTTGACCCCAGAGTTTACCAAGACTTTCTTGGATGAGAAGGAACAGTAAGTTTTGCAATCTATATTCGAAGCGTTGAAGGCGGTAGGCCATGGCAGACCACAGCTGAGCATGTTAAAAAAGGAACACTTTTCCCATTCCCGAGATCGTCTTTGACCCTACATTAGTGCTTAGCCCCCACGTGTTTCTTCTGGGGATGCTGTTTCGAATCAAGGCGTTCAAGAAATTCTCCAAGGACGGGCTAGTGGTCGACCGCCCCGAAAACTTATATAACCTGGGTGTTTTGGATGGACTGGGAGAACAAGAACTGAAACTGAAAGACGAAATTCTCGATCAGTTTGTATTCTGTCAGGCCCTGCGTGAGTCGGATGGGTTTCGAATCGCGTTAGAGGAGCAACTTGCGGAAGGTGCACTTCGATATCGAATGAAGCGAGGAGGGGAAATTACGGGATTCGAGCAGGTCACAAAGCCGTACTGTCTCCGCTATGGGGCAGCAAAAGCATTTAATGATAGCCGTGAGTTCTCTTACTTTGCTCCGGGCAGGAAATGACTGCGTCCATACTAACGTGGTTATCTATGGCGAACAGCGGACGTTACCAACGAGCTCCAAAACGTGATGTTGCAGTATGCTAGCATCAACACTTTCGTCAAACACTATAGCATGGGCATCCACGTTGACGCTCAGGCGATTGTTCGGGGACTGCCGGCCCAGAAACAACTGATGCGGTTTGCAGCGTCCATGAGCCGGTCAATTGATCCCCGTCAACCTTACAAATTAGAGGACACTAGCATTATCAACAAGGTTTCAAGTGTGAGCAAATTGCAGAAGAAAGTCATTGAAAAGAAAAGAAGTTCGAGAGAAGATGAAGCGGGCTTTCGAAATGGCGGAAGGGGACTTCCAGCGAAAACTTCGCGATTACCTGCAACAAAAGAAATTGAAACAGGAACTGCAAGGCCCCGCTCGTCTGACGCTCGACGTTGTAGAGCGGCGGGAGAGAGAGTACATGCGCGCGACCCAAAGACATACCCGGGCACAGCGTGTGGCTCGGAATGAGTGGCAACGACAACGTAACCGCCTGGTGCGTGAGAATCTGGTACGATATAAGAACGAGCAGCCAGGGATTGATAGTGAGAGACAACTCGCTGGAAAAGTGGTAGATGAAGAGGTTATGGGTGCTCTAGAACGGACAGGATTTATGACTCCGCAGCATATGATATTGATCGACACTATCTTGGCCATGCCAGGCTCCACTGTCGAGAAGGAGTATCAACGTCGGATTGCTGCAATCAACGCGGTTATCACTTTCTGTGATGTGGAAGAAGGTTCTCCGACAAGGCGAACAAAAGCTACCCAGAAACGTCGCGCCACCGACGACCCACCCTCTGCCCCCCCGCCGAAAAGGCAAGAATGCCGTTCCTCTGAGGGAGGAAAGACCACACTTTCTCTTGCAATTGCATCTGTCTGCATTAAAGCTCGACATCAGCGGCCGACAATCTGTTTTCTTTGCCTTGGGAATCCTCGTTTGCCTGATCGTCAGCGAGCCAAAAGCTTTCGGACTCCTGGGTCCCTCGGTCGTCACTTTGTTGACATTCACGTCATACCATATCCGAAAGACATGCGGGTCAAATGCGGCATATGCAGGGAAGACTTAGAGAGTAAATCTGCCTTGATGAACCATGCTGAGGAAGTGCATGGAACTGTATCACGTCGGCCGTTGTCTGCCCTTGGCCCAATTTAGATTTCTAGGTATGCACCTTCAGCCTCGCCATTTGTACTCCAAGAATCCCGTTGCTTCTCTTTGTCCTTACACTGCCTATGAAGGGCTGGTCCCACAACATCTGATACACTTGTTTGTAGTCTAGTTTGCTCTTATCTAAGTTGCATAGTTGCCTCGTCGTGTTATTGATGTACCTGTTTGTACAGTGCTACATCAAAGAGTAGACATATGCGCCGCCCGGTACACTATTCGACTGTAAGTCATCCGGTGATGCCTGAAGCCCAGCAGTTCAACATGAGCTGGTACTCCCAATCTGGTAACTCGCGGTCAGTAAGCTTATCGAACCTGAAACAATGGAGGATTTGTTCGGCAATCCACCATCATTTCACCTTTAGCCAATGTTTGTTGCCTGAGTTCATGTCATCACCAGTCGTAAATCTTCATCACGACTTTGCTGATAAGACTGGTGATGCCAAGGCCACATAATCAAAGCAAACATGGGTATAACGTGAGAGGCAAAGCGGCAACTCGGGCACGGATAATTATCTCCTGAAGCTCAGCTCTCGCACCGTCTTCCATCCAGAAGAGTGACTCCTCATCACCATCTATCGGCACATCTGGTAATGAGTAACTTTGATTCATTTAAGGCGGCATGACATTTTTCGTTGACCTTGAGAACAGCTATCACGTGTCGCAAGAAGCCACCTTGACTTAGATTTCCCATCACACCTTGTGCGGAACACGTCTTCAGAGTTGGCACATTTGCGCATTCGTGTGACCAAGGACTCATATCTTTATTCGTGCCACTTTCGAAACCACAGAGACAGAGTCATGTTAACTCAGATGTTCTGTCGCTTTTTTCTTCCTTGACATCACATATCAAGAGCTGGCCCCATACATCCGATACAGATCATTACACAATTTCCCTGCCTACCGTGGACCCTGCAAGGCTACAACCGAACCCTCAGCTGAGACAGTAGGCAGTGAATAATATCCGCTCCAATCTTCGAGCCTTTGGTTCACCTAGGGCACCACCAAATCACGCTGGGGGAAGAAAGAATTCACCACAAACATGCTAGGAGCTCTGTGTGATCATCTTCTAGAGAAGCCGGGATTATATTTAGATGAAATGGCAGTTTTCCTATGGGAAAAATCCGACTTCCAAACAACGACAAGCAGCATAAGCAGAGCACTTTCCTCGATTGGTTGATTTAAGAAGCTGAATTCAACAAGAGGCAAAAGAGCAGATCCTTGATCTTGAAGATGAATACTCCAACCCCAAAACCATCCTCACCACCTTAGAGGTCGCAAAGGAACAACGTCATTGATGACCGAGGCATTACCAGTCGCGGTCGATAAAAACACGTGACAAAAAACACGTGCGCTTGGGAACTTCGGGCTTTTATCCCATGGTTGGGCAACAATGCGCTCACACGACTTTTCGCACGGCCTAATCAATTGATCTCATCGCCAGGGATATATACGAATTTTATTGGAATAGAATAGAACTCCAGATGAAATCACTTGTTCGATACCTGCTAACTTAAGTGTGCAATGTCTGATAGTGTGCGAACCCCCTTCATCCTTCAGTTCTTCTATGCTTAGACAATATTCTTAGGACCATTTGAGCCGTGAAGTCGAAAAGCTCGGGCCTGGACGTCATTTGATGGAATCAGATGTTCAAATCACCTCCAACGGCATCGTGCAAATCATTTATCGTGATGCAACTCGTCAACGAAGCATCAAATTGAATATGGATGATACTGCCGCTGCAGTAGCTGGGTCTTATGTTGAGGTTTTCATTGGGTCTGCGCTCCTTCGGAGGCTATGACCGCCGAGTCTGGCTGGTAGAAAGGTACAATTTGCCAAGCTAGTTCCCTATCTATCTCGAACCTCAAAGTCAGAGAGGCACTGGAGGTGGGTTGGAAGGGCATATCCAACTTGACGTTGAATGTCGCCGATACCTGGTCAATCGGTAGCACTGCTGGTGATATCTCCACCGGTAAGAACTTTGATATAGCAGAATCAAGGGGAAAGGTTTCGGAATATCGCACTCCCATGCATTCAAAATCCAGGTCTGCCAGGGGCTCGCTGCCTAGTCCAGGAAATGTAGCATCAGGGACATCGTAAGATCTCGCTATTTCCGTCACTGCCGGCGATTCCCAGCTTCCCCTGGAAACCAACCTCTGAAAGAATCCTTCCATGCCTAGTTGGTTTAGACCATAGATTCCAGTCAAACCTAGGGCGAGCGAACAGAGAACCATAACGTTAGGACCGAGTTCAGTGCATCTGATGCACTTAACTAAAAAGTCTCTGTAGAGCCTCTGTTTGTCTTTCGTTCTTTTCTTCAAGGACAGTCTTTCTCCTTTGACCAACTTCACATCTGAAATCAAACGGTTCTTATCCGAAGTTGTGGGGGCAGCCTTTCGATCAATTCGCTCTGCATAGTCTTCAATTTTACGCACGGATGCGTCGAGAAAAAATTCTTGATTTTTCCTTTCGCTTCGCTTGCGCTTCAATGAACGGACGGTTTCTGTAGTGGTTTCCATTTTAGAATATATGATAGCGAATCAATGAGTGTTAGGTCAAACTGAGAGAGGAAATGGTAATAACGACTGATGATATGATGTGGGTGAGGATGGGTGAGGATGGGTGAGGATGGGTGAGGATGGGTGACGATGGGTAACGTAATCCACAAGCGGGCTGGCCACCCAAGCGGGCTGGCCATCTCCGTATTCCATATAAAATAGCTACTTTTTAACTCTTAATATCTCGACAACAAAGCTACCTAGTTATCTGAGATCTTAATATACTTAAGATAAGTATCTATATTTCATATAAGTCTACTTCTATAAGCCTAAGAAGACAAATTGAAGTTGTTATTATATTGACACTAAAAATACAGATGACTACAGTGTATTTTATATTACCTGATAATTTATAGCCCATGTAGAAGATTCCTTGATATTAGAGCCTAGGTATAAGTACTAGAGACTATATATATAAATATACAAGATAAGAAGTACAATTTGCTGAGATAATGATATATAAAATATGGCTCTATTCTATGGATAATACAGGTGGCCAGCCTGCTTGGGTGGCCAGCCCGCTTGTGGATTACGTTAAGGGGCGGGGTCGACGGACAACGGGTTTTTGTGCGTCGGAAGATAGTAAAGCCGAAATCAGTGGGTATCAAATGTTAGGCTAGATAAGCACCTTGCAGTGACTATAAGAGCTGATATTCACTTACATGCCTCAGAATCCAGAATAACATTGATCCAAATCTTTTGAAAGGACCGTGAAACTACACCGAGCTTACAGTGATCTCATAACATGATGGCTGTACCCCATCATCGCCATCGAACCTCTTTGGAAGGTGTCATTTTTCCTCCACCTCGACGCTTGTCGCCAGAAGAGCACAATAAAGCCACTAGCCTTTTCAGCAGCCTCGTCGAGCATTTTGAGCCTTTGCAGGCATCTAACAAGGGTTACAAACCACTAACACTTTTACGCCTCACGAAAGGAGGAGTCTCCGCTGAAGATGAGTTTCTGGAACTTTTTTTCACTTTTATTGAATACAATCAACTTGGAGTCTCAGAAACCACTCTAATTGAGACCTTAGCAACCCTACACAGCTTTCAGGGATGGACTTCCGAAGAACAGCATGGACTTAGTCAAAGCTTGATTCAATTCTCTAGTTTTCTGATGGATAATTTTTTTCTACCACGTAGGTCATTGATATGTACCTGAATCGTGAGACGCTAACTCTTGTCAGTTAAATCACTAGCCGCAAAGACTCCTCAGCCTACGCCGGCATTTCTTTCTCGTCCCGATTTGACCGATCCAGCTATCGGCACTCCACAGCGCGTTTCCAATTTGCGAAAATGTTGCCTTACGCGTGACCGACATCGATGTGTCGTAACCCGAAAATTCGACATACGTGAGGCTGAAGCGCGATACAGAATCGACGGATTGAACGTCAGAGATGATGATGGGAATTCCCTGCTGGAGGAAACTGGAAATACAACTTTTCTAGAAGTGGCGCATATCATTCCCCATTCCCTTATGTCTCATAGCGACATTTCAGGGGAGTCGAGACTAGTACGTCATTACCAATGCCTATAGCCTTCTGCTAACAAGTCTTCTAGACCGAGCGAAAACAAATAGCCCACAAGATCCTCAAGATGTTTAACCCCGGCGCTGTCTACCTCATCAGCGGGATTGACATTGACCGACCGATGAATGCGCTTACCTTGACACAAGAACTTCATCAGTTGTTCGGTAATTTTGAGATAGCTTTCGAGCCAGTCCCTGATCAGCCCCATACGTACAAGATCGATTATGTAAACACAAACCGCATGTTCCGACCCGACAATCTTCCCGTTACCCGCCCACTGTTCATCACGCCCGACAGAAGTGTGGAGCCCCCTTCTCCTCAACTGTTGGAATTACATCGTGCCATTGGGCGCATTCTTCATCTTAGTGCTGCAGGTGAATACATCGATAAATTGATTCGGGACATGGAAGATATGGAGGCGGGGGAAGTCTGTTCGAACGGATCTACTCGCATCGATGATTACGTTCGCTATAGACTTACAACTGAGTTTCATCAGATGATTGTTTGCTAAAGATTGGCCAGTTCTTGATTAAAACCATTTGACTTTTACCACGAATAATTGTTCAAGTTTTACGTACTGCTTTGTGGCTCGGGAAGCTGTCAGTTGATAATGTGATGTATCGTGATCTTAACCTGTACCTCTTACCACTGCTGCTGTTGCGCATTGAACCATTCTCAACTATCGACAAGCATATCACCATGGCTCTCAAAGACGTGAGCACTCACTACCAAAAGAGCAAGATATCTTCAAACGATGTGTCAAAAGGTTGTACTGCTCATTTTTCAAGAGGTTCTTGCCAGCAATAATTAGATTGCAGCGCTTCTTCACGACAAGGTCTTATCAGCAGTAAACTTCACTATTCTGGCATAGCGGTTCAGAACGAGAATTTTCCTGTATACAACGCGGCACCCCGCGTGCTGTCCGATGCAATTTCAGTACCGATATGGGTAACCCGCTTAGCAATTACTCTTCTCGTCACTGGTATGAGGAAACACTTTTTTTCTCTCCTTTAAAGTTGAGCGCGATCGAGAGTTTCCTTGGCCGCATCGAGGGCGAACTTGGGAAGAATTATAGAAACTTGGAATTTAACCTGTCGAACACAAACTACTCCACCTCAGAAATTCTCTTTCATCAAAATCCAATTGGTTTTCGTACATTGAAGAGGCTAGTTGGGATCCTGCTGGGTCCGATCATCTACAGACTGATAATATTCCCTAGTCGGACTCGCCGGGTACGGTCGGTTCCACCTTAACAATTTTAAACTTCTCGGCGGCGTTACCTCCAGGAAACTGCTGGAATTTACTTGGCCTGACTACGAGGTCTGGCTCGGTGACTTGGTTCATGGTTCTGTCGTTCGGTTTACTTGTGTCAATCTGATAGTAGAAGGCTCATCATTATAGACCTGCGACCCGCCTTCATGTCCAAGCTGTGAACGGGAGAAAACACCAATGGGCCTGTTTCTGATCATTAGGAAAAAAGAGTATTTTGAAGCACGTATTCTGGAGGGGAACACGATAGGTAAAAAAAGCATGTCCATGTTGCGCTGAAATAGGGGCATCGTCCAAAATGTTGTTCCAGGGCTCGTGAGACCGGTAGTGTAGGTCTTGTTTCATTGCGAAAGTAATGTGCGTTATCGCCTCACTTCCATGAACATCGTGGATCTACCTAAATTCAGTTTCATAGCTGTCAGTCATGCCGTCAGACCGCATCGTCTTCTTCATGGTAGGCTATAGCTAATGGGCCAATTTGGATCACTGCAGTAGAAGGAGGTTCTTTGCTTGCAAGCTGTATAGGACCTTGGATAAAAGCCTCTAACGATCTATACTGGAATAGAGAAATACAGGCAGTTGAAAGTCGAAAAGTGGCTAGAAGCTTAGGACGTGATTAATAGAATAGCCGAAGCTCCTAGAATTGTACTTGATTGTTACACATATAGTAACTTATCCTTGTAATCTTACTCGCTATTACATTGTAATCTACATGACTTGGAACACTTTTATTAACTATAGTACTAACTATACATAAGCTATTGCTCTCAGCATAGGGTTGGGAACGACCTCCAAAGAGTCTGGGTTAGGCATGGCATTTGTGCAGGATACTGTACGTTTGCTTGTACAGTGATGATGATGATGATGATGATGATTCATACGCTGACCCCTCGCCTAAGGCGACATGCAGGATCCACTATCTATACTCTCTATGTACATCTTTGAACGTGAACTATTATTTTCCTGACGAACTTGGAGCCTCGTCAAGGCCTGTGTGGGCCGGTGCCTGGGGTTGTGTTTTGCCGCCCTTGTGGCGCGCGACTTCGAAATCTCTGCGATGCCTCCGCAAAGTCCAGCACCGCCCCGAGGACGTTGCTGTCTGGCAAGACATCTTGTAGCCTACCTTCCCTACCTTGACCTGCTCCTCCTAGCATATCCGATATGTTATTTAAGGCTCCTCCAATCTTCTGCCGCAGTGTTTGACGTATTGCGCTAAGCCGTGGGCAGTCGATAAGTACGTGCACCACCGTCTCTGTGGCCCCACACTCGCACCGCTCGTCTGCCCGGAACCCATGTTGTTTGGCATACGTTGCCAGCCACGAATGGCCTGTGCGAAGTTGCATAAGCAGGTACGCTCGATTCCGTGGAAGCGAGCCATACAGTCGGCGAGACCTGCTGGACGGCAGGCCTCGGTCGATGTGGCGCAGGTGCCCTCCGTTTTTTGAGGTCCTCCATTCTTGTTCCCACTCTTGATAGATCTTTCTGCGTATGTATCCTTTCTCTCCTGAGAGGAGATGTTTGAAGGGGTGCTTCTTTTCTATGCCCGCTGCTTCTTTGGCCAGCCGGTCGGCCGCTTCATTTCCGGGGTCCCCGCAGTGACCCGGTACCCATTGCAGTCGCAGTGGAATTCCTCGGGCTTTCAGCTCACCAGCCGCGTGGTGAATAGCCTGGATAATACACTGACCTAATTTGTTCCACGAGTTTCTGATTACCTGTAGGGCAGACATGCTATCACTGAGGATTGTTGCCGGCTCTTGATCTGTTCCCGTGTCCCTTTGGTTTCTCTGTGCTAGCCGAAATACCAATCCAATAGCGTAGTAGATCGCCATAAGCTCGGCTGCATAGACTGACCAGTGTTCCATTGAGCCGATGCTGACTTGTCGAGATTTAAGGACCTGCCGGTTGCGGTCAAGAGCTACTGCGGCTGCACCCAGTTGGTTTTCCTTTCCCGATGCATCCGAGAAGACCGCTATACCCCGTCCTGAAGCCTGCTTCGCTAAGGCTTGGGCCTGCGCTCTCTCTCGGTTTGGTTCGATCTCGATGTTGACGAACGACTGCGCCCGCGACGGTGGTAATGGCCTAGGGTCAATGGTCTCAAGGGCCTGTAGGCGCTTCAAGTCCATGGTTCGCATTGTCTCCGCTAGTGGAAAACGTGCCATGCTACCGACGTGGGTACTACGTTCCATTGCCCGCTTAATGATTCCTTTGACTGGATGGTTATCTGGTAGGGTGCTGAACCGGGCTGCTGTTGTTTGTCCTCGCAATTTCAGTCGCAGGCGAGTAGGCAGTATGTAAGCTTCGATCTCCAGGGCGTCTGTGGAGACTGTTCGGAAGGCCGAGAGGATCCGGATCAGAGCTGTGCGTTGGACACTTTCCAAAAGCCTCAAGTGTGTTCTGTTGCGAAGAGGATCGTGTCAGACCGTTGATGCGTAGTCTACGGCCGGTATCACGCAAGCTTGGTATAGCTGGCGCATTTGCTCCGGTCGAAGATGTCTGAGTCCGCTCAGGGCAATAATCCTTTTGGTCGATTGCTTGACAGCCTGTTGCACGTGGTCCTTCCATCGCATCTCTGTGTCGAAAACCACCCCCAGGAGTTTGCCGGTGTCCGCTGGTTTGATTACTCTACCCTTCATAGTTATCTCGCCCTTGCCACGGGCTGATTTGCGCCGTGTCAGATGGATTAATTCAGTTTTCTCCGCTGCGAATGACGCGCCTGTTCTCCGTGCCCACTGCTCGATCCGGGGAATATCCTCTTCCTGAATTTTCTTGATGTTATCCTCCACCGAGACACTGGTCCGCCACCGGAAGTAATCATCAATAAACGCCGATGCCCCGCCATTGCTGTCGACCGGTTGATCGACCAGGTCTGAATTATAGAATCCCAATAGGATAGGTGAGAGCGGGGATCCCTGAGCTAGTCCTGCGTTTTCCAGAGGGGTGCTGTCTGTTTCGAAGTCATCAAGTGTTATGCTGGCTGACCGGCTTGCCATAAAGCTCGAGATCCACTGTCGAGCCGTTGACGGTATCCCCTTCGCCCGCAGACGCGCGACGAGAGTGGTCTTGCTGACCCCGTTAAAGGCACCCTTTAGGTCAAATGCAATCAGCGTTACTACTCTGGATCGCACCCATGCTCGATCGACCGCGTTCGCGAGCACCAGCAGGGCTTGCTCGGTGTTGCGTCCCGGCCTGCCTCCAAATTGAGTGTCAGGGAGCAGCTTGTATTTCTCTGCCCAGTATGAGAGTCTTCGGGCTATGACGGCTTCTAGCAGCTTTCCTAGTGTGTTGAGCAGGGAGATCGGGCGGTACGCCCCCGGCAATGAGTAATCCGGCTTGCCGGGGTTGCGGAGGACGACGATGCGCGCCTGTTTCCATTCTTTCGGGTAGTATCCCAAATCCACCGATCTTGTAAAGATAGTGGTAATTATTCTCTTTAGGAATATCCACAGATTCTTCCAGACCAACATGGGAATTCCGTCTCTGCCCGGGGCTGTAGTCCCCTTTGCAACCCGGAGAGACCGGTAGATCTCTTCCTCGGTGATCGCCTCCCATGGCAGTTCTTCGGCCGGATTGACATCTTCGATTTCCGGTTCAGCCATCTTTGGGAAGAAGGTTTCCAGGAATGCCTCCGCCTTGCGTTGGTTGTCAGTTATCTCCTCAGCTCCTGCTTGGATAGCTGGAATGCTCATATAGGCGTCCCGGGGGTGCATGTAGGTGGCTGCTTTCCACAGCTGGCCTTCCCCTGCTTTGTCAAGGAACTCTTTCCAGTGGCTTGCCTTTGCCTTTTCCGCAGCTCGTGTCCACTGCCTTCTTTTCGCACGCATTGTCTCAAACATGGACTTTGTGTGTTTGGGTGGTCAGCTCCTAATGTAGCACATCCGCTTTGCCACTTCCTTCGGGCTTGGTTGGCTTCCACTTGCTGTATCTTAAGTTCGGGAGTAAACCAGCGTTTCGAATACGGACATGGCGCCTGTACTGGTACGTGTCGCTCTAAAGCCGCTGTTGTGGTTTGAATCAGCTTTTCGACCGCGTGTTCTAAGTCTCTGTTTGTCTGGATCCACGGGCACTGGTCTATCTCCGTCAGTATATTTTGCCCTACTCGAGACCAGTCCGCACGGTTGTATGCTCGTTTTGGTTTGAGCTTCTGTGTCTGCTCCGGGTGAAGGCTCCACTCAGAGTATGTTGCTCGGTGGTCTGATCCGTAATTTTCATGGTACAAATAACACTTGACCAGCCGTGTCATGTCGTTAGTAAGTGTAAGGTCGGGTACTGAATTTGTGCCAGGTTTACTGAGGGACCAAAATGTTGTTTCCCCAGGACCCAGGCACCACTGTAGCTCCAGGTGGTGGAAGAAGTTAATTAGTTCGTCCGCGTGCGCTGCAAAGCGATGGTGTACTTCGCGTTGGCTCCATGCTAGGTGGTGGCGATTAAAGTCTCCCTCCAGAATTAGTTTAGTAGTGCGATCGCCTGATTCTGTATTTTGTTGAATGGTCTGTTGAATTTTTGTCAGGACTTGAGAGGCGCTGCTAGCTTTGAAGGCTTCGTGCATCTCGATGAGTGGGATATAGATTGAGAACACCAAGTACTGTATTTCAGGAGTCCATATTTTGATCGCCACCACGTCTGGGTGGCCGCATTGGACCTGGCGGTGTGATGATGTAGAGATCCTTCGGTTGATATAGAGAAGGCTGCGAGACCGACTGGTCTCATCGGGGTACGTGGGTCGATAGAGTCGCCATGCGCTGTGGTTAACGTGGGTGTGGTATGCTGTCTTTGGTGGTTCCTGAATCAGGAGCACGTCAAGATCCTGACTTCGGTGGTCGTTGATAAGGGCTTCCATTCCTGCCCTCGATTTCATGATGTTCAGCTGTAAGATGCGGAGGTTTTCTGTCATTGAGATGATCGGGGGTACAGGGATGTCTGGCAGTCCCGGTCGCCTGTCGGGTGTTCTCCGTTGCAGTCTGAGCATCGTGGTCTTATACCTGGGAAGCAGTATCGCTGGTCGTGTTGACCAGCGCAGTGCCCGCATTTAATCTGTTCCTTACACGACCATGCTAAATGGCCGAATTGCTGGCACCGCCGGCATCGCTTCTTTTCCACCCGGTAGGCTTCTACACTCCCGATGAACCTCTGTTCTACCAGCAGTTCCTTGTTGATGATCCATTCGGCGGCCTCGGGTGTATCCAGCCAGATTCCCATGGATGCTGATTTGCCTAGTGGTCTGTCTTTCTTCTTCAACCCTGCAATGTCCTCGATTTGGAACTTCTTCTCTTCGAGGTCGTTCTCGGTCGCTATCTTCCTTATCCCATGTTTCTTTTCGCCCTCTAGGTCGAATTCCTCGGTCGGGACCCGGTGGACCACGATCCCAAACCGTGGTTTGATTACTTTGGTATTGTTCCCCAACTCGTCCAACCACTCAGTGTTGTTCCGTGCGGTCTCTGCAGACTGCGCATCCCGGAATCTGATAACATAGCCTGTTTTGGTGGTACCAACCTCAGCAACTTGGACGTCTTTGGTAGTTTCTGCGTTCAGGAGGGCAGTACGGATATGGGTGGGTGTTTGCTGCCTCTGTTGGCAGGGCTCTCGAGAATCGGTCGTTATCGACATCCTGGTCTAGGGTCGGTGCGGTGCTGATTCGGACACAGTTGGGCTCCTTTCTGGGGCGCGGTACTGTCTTCTTGGGGTTTGGCAGCGAGTTGCCCGCGGCTACTTCCGCCCACGACCTGTTCAAGGGGGTGTTTGCCAGTTGCGCCTCCAGTCTGGCCCGGAGGCTTTGAATTTCTTCCCGCAGCTCCTCATTTTGAATACGGAGGAGCTGTTGTTCTGCTTTTAGTGCCTGGACTTCAGCTCTCGCCGATTCGATTGTCTCGGTCTGGTGCTTAAGTGCCTCGTTAAAGCTGGTGAAAAACTGTCGGACGTCCTGGTTTGTCACTCGTCCATTATTTTCCCCGCAGACCGCGAATTCGGGGTTGGTGATTGGTTCGTTCTCCTCTGCATCAGCGCCTCGTCTGCGGCGTTTCCTTGTTGCTCCGATCTTGGGGCGAAAGTCATATTGGCCGAAAATATTTGGTGTTTCTTGCGAGTTTGTGGGATGGGGTTCGGTAATCCCTGCGGGCGGGATTGCCATCGGGCCGGGAATAGTTCCCGCTCGGCACACAGTGACAGCTGCCACAACAACACGATTCTTCGCGATGGTTGATATCAAATTCAACCAACAATTCCAGTCCTCCTGCTTCTGCTTGTCCCCTTCTGGTGCTCTGCTTCTGTCTGCTTGTACCCTGTACATACAGTGCCTTGCACCTCTGTAGTACAGTTGCTCCGGATACCGGTCCTGTACATACAGTGCCTTTAGCTTGTACATTGCCTTGCAAGTTCGGCTTTTGCCTTTCCAAACTCTCTGGCTCTTTCTGAGCGCCACATCCGAGGACTAGTCCATAATAAGCCTAGATAATTATTTTCGGTTATTACACAGTGTAAGAGCTGCACCAATACCGTAAAACCACTTTACCGATTTTATCAATAGCTGCGCTTTCCCGAACTCCCTGCAAACCAGGCAAACATCAGCCTTGCAGGATGCGGAAACTGATTACCCCTCCTTCTCAATCCTGCTGAGTCTTACCCCAGCATTCTGCGTATGGGATCATCAATACCTGGAGACGAGAGACTTGAGATTAGCTCCACTTTCCTTCTGTTTCTGTGTCGTCGACGATGACTCCCCTCACGCATTATGACTATACGGTCGCATGGATCTGTGCTCTGCCTCTGGAGGCGGCTGCGGCCCGCGCCATGCTGGAGAAGACCCATCCCCCATTTCCACGGTCAGCAACCGCAGATCGATGACGCAATGACACACTCACGAGGCGGCAAATGTCCCTCATTCCCCAAGTTTCCAGCAACGCAGCCTCCAAGAACGAGCTGCGCGACAAATCTATCACTTTTCTAAGCTGTATACATTCATTGAGTATCGAATGCTAGACTATGTGCACGGAGAACGATCTATGAAGGCCTGCCATCATGGCAAGAGTTTGATAATCAACTGTCTTGGAAAAAAAATCCACGCGATACCTATCCTTCGGCGCCTGCAAGCGGGCCATGCAGCGACGTAATACACTGGAAAGATAGGGGAGAACGGATATCGTAGTGATCGCAGTATGGACAGAGCATTTGTCGGGTGTTTACAAAGCAGAGGAGATTGCAGCCATGCTTAGACATACTGATACAGGGCTGGATCTTTATAGGGAGATATGGCACCACCGTGACGATTACCTTATTCGTCTACTACAGAAAGACTGAAAATTCTCAATAGTCTTCGAAAAACCTACAGCAGAATTGGCGAAAAGCCGCCGAAAAACAAACGATTTACCATGACAACCGCCACGGTACCCTATCCTTCGAAAGAAGAGACGAAGTGGCACGCACATTCAGGAAGGTGACCTAGTTAAACTATCCACCAAGAACTTGAAGTTCAAAGGGACAGTTCGCAAACTAGTACCCAAATTCATCGGCCCGTTCCGAGTTGTTGAAACGGTTGGAAAGCAGGCGTTTCGCTTATGCCTACCGTCGAAATACAGTCGCTCACATAATGTTTCCACATATCCCTTCTAGAACCTTGGATGACCAAAGGGAACAAGGCCGAACCACTACCTATGCCTGATCTAGACGATGATGATGAATGGGAAGTAATACAGGTACTGGCAAGGTGGCATGTGGCCGATGAATATGGTCTCCTTGCCATCTACGATGGTGGAGAGTGCTCAGATGGTTGTTGAGCTTACTAGTGTCACGTAATTCGGTTTGATTGTTTAGCAAACAAACCCTCAACGGGTAAAGGTGTGAGTCATTTCGGGAGACTAAGATTGAGAAGGGCATCTACTTCTATGTAGTGCCAAAATTAAGTGCCCTTGCAAGTACTCGCAATCAGAAATCATGAACTGCCGAAACGAACAGTGGAAAAGAGCTATATTGACGGGAAGAGCGCCCGGGTTGCTGTAAGTCAAGACTCTGCACCACCGGAAGGTGACAATACATCCATAGATTATGATTAATGCTAGTTATGCAGAGTCAGTGGCCCGATGAGGGTAGTGATACTTGAATATTCTAATGCAGCAATGATTCTTTCAGACAAAGAGGGTGCATTGAATTGAGATGCATGCTGGCGTGATCGCTAGCGCTCAAAAAGAAGAAAATCCCTTTACCTATTCTAAGCTACGAGCCACAAATCGTTCTAGCTCAGCCAAACAACCGTGTCCACGACTGAGAAAGGAGCACATCGGGATATCCTCAACATGTTGGAACAGCGCAGACAATTTTGAGAACTCCTTTTCACAGCTTGGACATTTGTAAAGCCAACCTCCATCCTCAGAAACAATGTATTTCCAGCTCCGGTGAAATTCGTGGGCAATGCTATCCATCTTTCCCTCAGTAACGCCTGACAGGCAATTTCCAGCCTCCAAGTGAATCAACATTCCGGAAAAGGATTTGAAACTTCGGTAACAGCCGTAGCATTCCATGGTTCGGGCTTGATGCCTTTGCTGGTGCTGAAGAGACCATGCTGTTAGCACTATCCGAGCGAAGAGCTTCACGCTATCTTAGGTTACCATTTGTAGATCATTCTCGTTGTCAAAATAGTTATCACAAATCACACAGAGATAATGCTGGCTGACGTCATGATCTTGAAGCTCTAAAGCGGACTTATGATGAAGATTGCAATCGAGACAAACGTGATGAATATCCACGAGATGGTCTTCGAGTTCTTGGTTAGACTTGAAGTCTTTCGAGTGAGGACAAACTGAACAGACATGGTGTCTTCTTGATGTTCGTAGGTGCGCAAGTTTAGATGAATTCGAAACAAACACTCGGCAGCACTTTTCACACCACAAATGCTGTGAAGTCTGCCTGCAATGGGCGTAGAGCGACTCAACGGAAATGAAAGCCCTTTCACAGATCAAACATTCATAGTCCACACCATTGTGGGCAAGATACGGACCTAAGCCCATGTTTGGATTTAACGGAGTGTAGGATGTCAGATGGACCAGCCGGTGGTGGGGCTTGCACTCTGTTGAGATAAAGTGGATAGAGAACCTCCAGAGGGGCTACCAACGAATGGGACATTCGCTTAGGATTTGAGGAAAGGATTGTTCTTATTGGCAAAGAGCCTACTACACCACCTGACGGGCGGGCTACATAGCAAGTTCTCAAAGCGCGTTTCGAACCACCCAACCAAGAGGGCTCCCGATTAGATCTCGAACTTGGTGCTACTGTCGGATCAAGAGTTCAGCCGATATACCGTCCCGGTGGACTCGACAAGGGGGTGGATTGGTAACGGTTATTGTTCCCAAGTCCTTACTCATCGATAGAATGACACCCATTTTAAACAACCACCAGTTACGGCCATGTCAGATTCAGTCGACTACAAGGCTTTGTTTTTGAGGGCCGAGGAGGAAATAAAGAGAGTTGATGAAGAAAGAAAGGGAGCTAACGAAGAAAGAAAGAAAGCTGAGGAGGGAAGGAGGCAGGAGAAGATACTGAGAGAGCAAGCAGAAACACGAAATCACCAGACTACCTTCGAAGAATTTATTCAACACTGTCATGATCTTCTTTCAAAGCCTCTGAAAGCCGGAGATCCCACTCAGTCTACCACTGGTAAGATTCCATTCCTCACCGGCAAATGCTGCCCTCTGCAACTGGAACCCTGGACGGATTGTGCCTTTGAGCAACAGCGGGTTTACAACTCGGTTCATCAATATCTCCATCCTCAGGTAGAGAAACACCGCGATTATTCAGTCCCTGCATTGTACTAGAAGAGTATGGACAGCGTTCTGCCGACCGACCTATCACAAGTGAAAAGGACCTAGAAGTTTACGAGCGTTTTGCTGTGGAAAATCATGTGTCTGATATCATCTCAGCGCTGTGCAAGATACCGAGTGCGCGAGAGGAATTCGGCCTAGGGAATGGGGTGTGGTTCGACAACCACGCCAGGGCTCTTGACGAAAGTCCGCCAGACAAAGCAAATCCGAAGGAACGACCTGCGCGTCCCGACCAATTCTGTATTCACCGTGTTGATGAGGACAACGAGGTTTTGTTAACTACAGTCGAGTACAAACCGCCGCATAAATTGTCTAACGAGAATCTTAGGGCGGGTCTCCGACCGATGAACTTTTACCACGAGATCGTCGAACCAGAAACAGTTCCTACCGACGGGCCGGAAAAACTAAGGTATAACGCCGCTCGCCTTGCCGGCTCTGCGATCGTTCAGGAATACCATGTGATGATTCAGGAAGATCTGGAATACTCATATCTGACTACTGAGCTTGGGATTGTGCTCCTACGGGTGCCCGACAATTGCTCGACTCTTTATTACTATTTGTGCGAGCCAAATCTCGACGTCGAGAATAGTGTTGAGGGTCCTCGGACGCCATCGAGAGGGTGCTTTGTCTCTGCCTAATGAGCTTCCGTTCGACCTGTCGGGACCAAACCTGGCGGAATGCTGCGCGGGCGCAGCTACCAATTTGGGAGACCAGCTTCAGCCATGCACGATCACAGATTCCACCGGGCGAGTTGCGGCAGAAGCCTCCAGGA